CTGGGAAATTCTGACAGTCTCTATAACAGAGTTGTTGAGAGAAGATGAATGGATAGAGGGAGGGAAGGAAACAGGGTGAGCTCTGGAAAGAAAGAAACAGACTGGATGAGAAAGGAGGGATAAACGGCACTTTGGATCGATGCGCGAGGAGAAAGGGGGAGGCAGTGGGCAAACTGGTGGGCTGTTGACCACTGCAAATCATAAGAGAGAAACTGGAAAAACAAGAAAGATGGCAGAGGGATAGGTAGACGAAAGTGATCTATATAGGCCCTTTTTACAGCAGACATAAGATATAGGCAAGCTGTTAGTAAGCTTTAAGAAACAGGTGTGTCAGTTCAACGAGTGTCCGTGCGCGTCCGTGGTGGCTCGTAGTAACTTGGGTAAATGATCGTAGATAATAAACACGGATACGTATGTATTTAAAATTGATGGAAGGCTTTTACGGGGACACCTTACATGTTCAGATCGTGTTCGAGTCACTTGTTAAAACGAAACACCGGCTGCAAGCTATCAAACGTGTTGACTACCACTGGACTTGTGTTTGAAGCTATTGCACTCCGCCGTACTTCCGTTGCTAAACTACGTCCACACACTTTGGCACGTCATCATTGTTTATAAACTGTAAAAGTTTCTATAAATGCAGCTTAGGAACAGGAAGGAGTGTTTACTGACTGTCAGGTGAATGTGTGACATGCTTTTACCGAGAATGTTGAACTTTGTTCACTTGGGACTCAATGACGTGTCATAAATGCTCGCCCACATGTTGCTTTCCAACAGTTGAGCCTTTGTCACTGGTTTTGAAAACGCTGGTTGATTTTTCTGAACAAAGAGAATATAGTTATCTATTTGTATTTAAAATGATGGATGTAGTCTGAAAGGAGTTCAAAGAAATGGAAATCACCCAATGACTGGAGTTGGTTTCCACCCAAATGTAAAGTCTCATTAGAATACGTAAGGTGGTATCTTTTTTTAAATTTATTTTGGCTTGCGGGCAAACGGATGTATTTCTTACAGATTTTTAATTAAACAACATTCTTTCTGTCCCCTGGGCTTGGTGCTATACTGTGATATAGATATGAATCATGATGCTTATCTGTGATGTTCTTTCAGCACTCTATTCCAGTATCTCTACTCTGGATAGCTGTGCACCGTAGTCAGCAGGCTTCAACATGCAGCTCCCTAACACTGTGGCCTAACTGTCACCGTTTGTAGTCTTATCTGCTCCTCTTCCTCTCTACGGTCACACTCTTTACACTTTGACGAAGTTGTATACAATTGATAGAACTTAGACCAGTATGGAGAGTAACCTTTAAAGAAGTACTGCACACTCAAATGTGTTTCTTTAAGCTGTAGCACACTGTCTTTCGTTTATACTTTTTGCGTATCACCGCACAACACCAGCCTCTTCTTTCCGTGGACTGGAAATGTAGCCATCAGCACATTACAACATCCAGTGAATCAGTGTTAATGACTTACCATCTTGTGATAGCAACTTGCTCGTCTATGCTGTGTATAGATGAAGCACCAAGTTGTTAAGGGCCTGGCTAGTTGGCTAGCTATCTCATTAGCATGTTAATTCCACCATGCTTTCGTGCTACACCGACATAGATGTATAATAAGAACTGGATGCGGCGGTGCCGATCTTTTTTTCTAGTGGACATATGTGGTATTTATGCAGAAAGTTCCCTGTGCAGCCCAAAAAAGTCACTATTGTAAAAGAGACTTCTATATAAGTGTTGACGGGACTCCTCAAACTGCAAACAAGTGACTCTTTCTCTTATGATCTATTGATCTATGGAGGCTTTATATTTGTCAAGTTTACTTAGCTGAAAAAGGGGATTTTAAAAATCCTAAAAGTCCATGGGCTGAGCGGGAAGAACATTGGTGCGCATACTTAGTAGACTTCATACCAATGTACATATGGGCAAGTCAGTATGGTTTTAATTGCACTGGTGAATTCTTATCAAATATGTAATGTTTCATTGCTTTAGCTAACATTGCAGTCGGCCTAAAGTTGATCTTGGCAATGAGACGTTTGTCCCGGTGGTGTGATCTAACTGCAGGTTGACTGTGTTGTCTTCCAGAGCCAGATGCTGACAGCAGGACAGAGCAACAAACACAGAGTCCCCCTCCTCGTCCCTCCCCCGTAATGTCCCTGTTCAGACGCTTGAGCGACAGGCTCGTGAGGCTAGACTCACGCGGCTGCTCCTCCCTCCCTTCCTCTCCGCCGTCTCCCCCATCATCTCGTCCTTCCTCTCCCTCGTCCTCCTCCTGGAGGATACACAAAGCGGGGCTGCGCAGAAGGCTCGGTTTATCAGACCCAGGTCTAGTGACCTCGCCCCAGACTCCTTCCTGTGACCCGGTACTGAAACATGCGTCGCCGAGTGACCTGCCCCCGCCCCCGCCCTGTCCCAAGCTCAGATCCAGCCTCAGCCCCAGGCATGTCCCTGCTCCAGACCGCATGTCCCATACTGACTCCTCTCAACGTCTCTCTGTCCCTCAACAAGTCCGTACTTATCCCACTAGTCCAAGTACTAGTCACAGTCACAGTCCCGATCATCCAGCCACTGACCTAGACTAACCCCTGTTTCCAG